AAACTCTAAGCATTGTTAGAGACCCCACACGCCCACTTCACAATTTCTTTCTGTTGCTCCCCTCTGGGAGGAGGTTTCGAAGTAGCTACAGCAGGACTAGCAGATTCTGTAACAGCTTTGCTCCCTATATACCCGTGATGGGTTCGGGGCCAGTCAGAGGTGGGATTGGCCAGTTGTCCGAACTACTCACCATTTCCGCTACTGGTTCTCCAGAACTGATCAAAACCTGCTGAATAGCACCTCTGCTTCTCATCCAAGAAGGTTTTTCAGCTCTGACTGGATGGTGGGGAAGGGAAGGGTTTATATTCTTTGCAAACAGCTGGTCATTTGCATCCTTTTAGAGAGACGTTGAGGCCACTTGGAGGTTTATCTGTGACCTCAGGGTGACCTGAGTAGGGCAAATGAGTTTGGAGCCTTCTTGGAACTGCTGAAAGGACTGTGTTGTAGACTAGAGATAGATAATGTCGTATTCCACTTGGCTGTTTTTGCTATGTAGTTCCCTTAAATTATACTAATTAAAATGATCTTACTCTTCTTGTAGATACTGGGCTTTGATCCAATCCATTTGGATGTGTCAGAATGATTCAGGGGAAAAAAAAATATTTGGACAAGACTAAACCGAACAATTAAGAAGTGAAAGCATGATGTTGTAACCTTTTATTAACATAAAAAACAATTTTATGCTGGACTTTCCTATCGTGGTACTCAAATTTTGAAACCACCTCATAAAAACACAGACCAGGTCAAAACTTCATATAAAACCCATTCATAAAACAACGGGCTGTTGTTTTACTGCTGCAGACAAATTCCCATTCATGAAGCAGGACTTTTGGTATCCTTTTTTCTGTTGTTCCCTAAGCATCCAGTGAAAATAAGGTGATCCTTAAAGGTTGAGATTAGTTCTTAGTCAGTTACTGCAGAAAATGATTAGAAACCCACATGCAAATATTCACCCATGTATGCGCATAATTCTTTCCTGTCTAGCACCTTTTAATCCAGCTTGTTATGTAAAATAATTACCAAATAAGCATTGTGATATGTATCCCTGACTTCCCACAGGGCGAGATAGGTGTGAAAGCCAGTAAGATCCTCATTTATTTGCCAGAATAATAATACATACACGCTAAAATCACACAGGCAGAAAAAAAATCTATTAATCCCAATACTTCTAGCAGAAAGTAATTTGAGAAAGGCTGATATAGACACAGAACACATCCTCGGACAAGGAACACAGTTACTTCTCAGCTTATGACCACAATTGAGCCAGTGGTGGTATTCTACTGGTTCGGCCTGGTTCTGCTGAGCCGGTAGCTCCACTGAGCATCAGAGACCGAACCAGTTCTCTCTGCCCAGGCCCCTATACTCACCTTTATCCTCTGCTTTTGAAGGGCACCTGCTTTGCACGACACAGCAAAGTGCTATGTGCCAGCTGCTGAAGCGACTGGGAGAGTGTAGGCTTGAAGGTGGGCATAGCTTGATGGACAGGCTTTGCAAGCACGCACACACTTTGCTGCACGCATACCCCAAAAGCGCCCTCTGAGGTGAGTCAAAACGCCTCTGCTCTTGCGCAGACACCTCTATGCCTGTGCAAAGACTTCTGCGCCTGTGCAAAGGGCACTTTTGGGGTGTGCGTGCAGGCAAAGTATGTGCGTGCTTGCAAAGCCTGTCCATCAAGCTATGCCCACCAACCAGTGGTAAAAATCCCACCACTGAATTGAGTCCAACATTTCTGCTGCTGATTGAGACGTTTCTTCGGTGAGTTTTGTCCCATTTCTTTGGTCCCATTTTACGACCTTTCTTTACAGAGTTGTTAAGTGAAATCACGGCAGTTACTAAGTTAGTAACACGGTTGTTAAGCAAATCTGACTCCTTCATTGGTTTTGCTTGTCGGGAGGTTGCCAAAGGGGATCACATGATCCCAGGACACTGCAACCCATTGTAAATGTGAGTCAGGTGCCAACTGTTTGAAATTTCGATGACGCTACTATCGGGATGCTGCAATGGTGAAGAAATGGTCAGAAGTCACTTTTTTCCAGTGCTGTTGTAACTTCAAACAATCACTAAAAGAATTGTTGTAAGTTGAGGACTACTTGTAATAAATGAATATTAGTGTCAGGATTCCAGCAGTTACTCCCCATTTAAATCATGAGTCTCAAGCCAAACTTCCAAAACTTCAGAAGGATTTATTGGGAGTTAACAAGTTCAGGACTGCCTGGGTGTAGCCGACTCTGAGACACATCATTCATTGTCACCCTTGACCCTGGTTTCCCACCACCACCTGGGTGTATCAGAATTCATATTCTCCAATTGGACACATCCATATCCAAGAGTCATCAATCAGGCTCTCCAGTTAAGAATTTTGCATAGCAGAAACTTCAGTCACCTAGTTATTATCTTTGAAAAACTATTTGTGGAATGTACTTTTAATTTCCAAGCTGCTGCACTGCTCTTTCAAACCCCTTTCCCCCCTCCCTTTCTGTTGGCAACTCTAAAAAAACAGTAGAAATATTTTAAGAGTTGACCTTTAGTCTTATTTATTAATTTAACGTGTATGTCACACATCTTGCTCTGCAAAGTTTCTTTGGGCAAATCGCAAAACTTTCAAGCAAATGTATCTGAATAGTGTCAGAAGAAATATCCGCCTGGTTCAGTTCCCAGTGGAGAGAAAGACACTGGTGGAAAGATACAATGGAAAACATGGTGGCTGTTTGGAAAGATGGTTTATGGATGGACAGGACCACATGGGTTCCACATGAGATCCTGGGCAGCTAAATACATGGAGTGGAGAGAGACGGTTATTTATATTCTCTCTTGGGCTTTGCCCTTGAGCTTCCTGTTCCTGTGGCAAGAGCATGTATTCTATTGGCTGTAGTCAGACTCCCATGTGGCTATGCAGGGGTCACAGCTGATTTTGTAGGTTGTCTAAGTCAACCTGGTTGACAGATTTAACAGATAATCAGAGTTGGAAGGGACCTTGTAGGTCAACTAGTCCAACCCCCCGCCCAAGTGGGAGACGCTACACCATTTCAGACAAATGGCAGTCCAATCTCTTCTTGAAGGTCTCAAGTGATGGCTCTCCCACAACTTCCGAGGGCAAGCTGTTCCATTAGTTGTTTGTTCTCACTGTCAGAAAGTTTCTCTTTATTTCCAGATTAAAACTCTCCTCGTTCAGTTTCCATCCATTATTCCTAGTCTGGCCTTCAGGGGCTTTGGAGAATAGCTTGACCCAGTGGTGGTAGTCAGCCGGTTTACACCGAATCGGGTGACCCGGTAGCAAGAATTTGGCGTGGGTCGCCAAACTCACCAAACTCACATTTGCCTAAGTTATTTCTTTCTTTTTTTTCCCTCCCGATAATCAGCTGTAGGTAAGATCACCTGTGCCGGGATTCCCCTTGCTGAGGCCCAGGAAGGCAAAAAATGGAGGGAGGAGCTCAGGGCCCCCTCCATTTTTTGCCTTCCAGAGCCCCAGAGGAGCCTTAGGGGAGCAAAAACGCCCCCCTCAGCTTCTCTGAGGTGAGGAAGCTCCCAAAATGGAGCTTGGAGGGTTGCTGCGTGCTCCTCCCATGCTCTGTTCCTTTTCTTCCAGAGCCCCGGAGAAGCCTTAGGAGAGCAAAAACCACCCCCCAGAGGCTCCTCTGTGGTTAAGAAGCTCCCCAAAATGGGTGGGGGCTGCAAAAAATAAAAGCCATGCCCACCCAGTCACATGGCCATGCCCACCAAGCCATGCCCCCAGAACCGGTAGTAAAAGTTTTTGAATCTCACACTGGCTTGACACCTTCCTCTCTGTGGCAGTTGGTTGAACCTTGGGCCGATGCAATGAAGGGGCTTCATTGTGCAGTTTCTATTGTGGCTGAATGGCTTTGCCCTGAAGGACAATCCCATCACCCTGGAGCTAAACGTCTTGTGTTTTTAGATAGGCTGGCCCAGTCCTTCTCAATGGGCACCAAATACTTGCTGGTATTAGAAACAGAGAGGAGGGTGGACTATAGAAGGAATAGATAGGACATCCAGCCCTTGCTTATCAATGGAGACTGAGTGGAGCAAGTGGCCAGTTTTAAGTTTCTGGGTGTTACTCTAAAAGAGGACCTGACCTGGAGGGCCCACATTGCAGCCCTGATCAAAAAGGCCCAGAAGAGATTATACTACCTGGGACCTCTCAGGAAACAACAACCAAATGGAAAACTGCTGGTGACCTTCTACCACTGCACCATAGAGAGCATTTTAACTTACTGCACCTCTGTATTGTTGCAATATCATCATCACTGTATGGTTTGCCAATTGCACAATGGCAGATAGGAAAGCACTCCAGAGGGTTAACATCATTGCCCAGAAGACCATGGGTTGCCCTCTCCCCTCTTTGGAAGAGCTTTATAGTTCTTGCTACCTTAAGAAAATTCAAAACATTCTTAAAGATCCATCTTGTCCTGGGTACCTTTTTTTTTGAACTATTACCATCTGGCAGACGATACAGGAATAATAAAAACAAGGACAAATAGGTTGAAAAACAGCTTCTATCCCAGGGCATATATTGAATTCTACTGTACAGCGCAATATTAATGCAATATAGGGTTTTCAATTCAATTGTATAGAATGCAAAGGAGGTGTGTTTATTTTTTATTTTTATAGTTACAATAGACACTGAAGATGGCATTTAATTTGGTTGTATGAGGTGCAATGACAATAAAGTAAACTGAACTAAAGCTAAGCTAACTTTCTACAATAGTAATTCAAAGGCAGCACCTTGGGAGAAGTTTGCCAGGTCCCACATCTCAAGACATGAACCAACGGGAGAGCCCAATCTGATTTAAACTTTGCTTTTGATGATGATGATGATGGTGGTGCAATTGTTTGCAGGTTGTTTGTTTCTTCCGCCATCGCTGCAGGCACTTGCCCAAAAAACTGCACTGCAGTTTTGGAAGGGAACAGAAAAGTCTCAGTGCAAAATAGATTCTGATCGCTCGATTAACTTTCTCTTTCCTCTGTCTCCCGAATTCTTTTAGCAGACGGATGATGCAGCACAGACCGACGGTCAGCAACAGACACAATCTTCTGAAAACACAGAGAACAAATCACAGCCCAAACGGCTGCATGTTTCAAATATTCCCTTCAGATTTCGGGATCCGGACCTCAGACAAATGTTTGGGGTAAGCAATGGCTTCCTTATAACACTCTACTTTTTGATTTTCTTCCTTATTTATGTTCAGTATGTATCTATGTATGTATTCAGCTATTACGGCTGCCAATCTCATTCTCAGCAACTCATGGAAAACTAACCTAGGAAAAAAAGGTATTACACAACAGTTTATCTAAACATTATTCAATGTGTCAAGACCAGAGGTGGTATTCAACTGGTTCACACCAGCTCGGGCAACCCAGTAGCGGTGATTTGGTGTGGGTCGCCAAACTGGCGGTGACCCCTGGCTGGCCACGCCCCCGAACCGGGTTGCCCGGTTGCCCGCTTGTCCCGGTTGCTTTCCTAGCTTTCCATACCACGTGGTGGCCATGGCACAGCTCGGGTGGATGTCCTAGGGGTGCTGCATATGTGCACTGCATGTGCAGCAGCTGCATATGAGCACTGCATGTGCAGCAGCTACACATGCAGCGCGCATGTGCAGCAGCCCTGGGACATCTGCCTTCCTGCCTGGCCTCCTAGAGCATGTTTTCTTCCTTCTCCTGGTGGCGGACGTGCCTCTTCCAGCCCAGGCTAGCTCAGCCCCGCCAGCCAGCAGGCAGATGGGCAGATATCCCGGAGCTTCTCTCTCCCCTTGTCGCAAATGCCTGCAGCAGCCCCTCGGGCCAGCTGAGCCAGGAGCCACCGTTCCCAGGTTTCTACTTGCCCGTGCTTGGTCAATGCCTCTTCAACTTGCCCGAAGCAGCTGGTCTACCCTCCCCTCCCTCACCTGGCCTGAGAAGGTAAGGTCAATGGCAGGAGATAGTGAAGCAGCCGGGACCTGGGTCCCTATCTTCCCCTCTCTTTCCCCCCCCCCTCTCTCTCTCTCTGTGTGCTGGTCATGAGTGGAGGAGGAGAAAGGTTGCCTGAAGGGACTGGCTGAACAAGAATCGCCAACTGCGCTGGAAGCGTCTCATCAATTTCCATTTAACATTGGTGGTACCTCCAGCTCCAGCCGCGCAGAGGCAGTCACACATGTGTGCTTGCCATTCCCACCTACCCACCCCCATCCATGCATGGCAACCCTACCCCACCATGAGAAAGAAGACTGCGTTTTTGCTTCAGCCTGCCCCGTTGCTGAATTTTGCTGCCGCTGCCTCCTTGGTAGCAGCCGATTCTGGCACCTGTATCTCCTCAAGTGCCAGCCTTGGTGTTACTCACTGAAAGTTGGGAAAAAAAAAAACACACACACACACACAGAGCCGAACCAGTGGCAGCCACAGCAGTAGTCCCACTAGCAGCAGCGGCAGTAGTTTCTGTGGCAGGACTCACCCCGCCCCTAGTCATCAGCTGCCCTGAGCTAAAGAAGCTGGCTGCATCGGGGGAGTCGACCAGCTGAGTGTGCAAAACAAGGCACCTCGGACTGCCCGCACTTCTTCTTCCTCTCCCCCGTCCTCTTCCAGGGGCTTCCCACCCACCACTCTGCTTGCTCTGTATGTGGGTCTGGCCGGCTGCCTCTTTCCTATGCTGCCTTCCCCTCAGCAATTCCATTCACTGCTTTCAGTGAACTTCTCTCAGGCCTCCACACACCCCACACCTGCTCAATCCCCCACTCCACCTGAGGTCATGAAAGAAACGAGGGAAGGAAAAGGGGGCGGGACTGGCACTGCGAAAGATGCCACCCGCGAAGGCAGAAAAGGCCTGGAAAGAATGGAAAGAGCTTTTGCGCGCTCTCTCTTCTGAGCCCTACTGCCCGCAAATCCCCCCCCTCCCTAAGTAGCTATGGGGAGATCAGTCATGAATTAGAACACTTGCTAAGCAACCGGCCATTAAGTGAGGTCCGCTTGTATTTGGTTTTCTGGTCACATGGTCACCTGGCCACGCCCACCCACATAGCCACGAAGACACGCCCACCCAGTCACATGGCTACAAACCCATGCCGATCTGGTCATGTGACCAAGCCACACCCACACAGTCACAGGACAGGACCACCAAGCCACACCCACAAAATTAAGCCACGCCCACAGAACTGGTAGTAAAAAAGTTTGAATACCACCACTGGTCAAGACCCACAAATAACACACTTTCTCATTCAGGCATGGAGGTGAGGCTGACTCCAGTGCCTGGGGGAAAAGTCAGATTTTTCAGTTTTCTGAAAAACTAAAGTCAAAGTCGTCCAAACCTTGGGGCAAAATGTAGAGGCCAAGCACAATGACATCTCCCTAACAAACCACGTCTTCTTCAGTTGCTAAGGACTTAGCTGGGCAGTCTCATTTGTGCAATTTACTCATCTACTTCTTTTTGTTATTCCACTCCTGTGTTGAGTCTGCAGAAAACGAAAGGGAAAGAAAGGGAAAGAAAAGAAAAAAAAGAACAATATATTATAAAGTATCACACCTAATACAGCTTATAGACTAGGGAGGTAACACCTATGCTTTTAGATGAATGAACTTGATTTTTTAACTCCTTTGTGAAATAAGAGATATATTATTAGCTCCTACCAGATCTTTTAGTCCTGAAGTTGACGAAAGGTGTCATTTGACACAAACCCCACCGAACTGAGGTTGAACTGACAATGATTGTCCTGTAGCTCTTCTGGAAATAGTTAGAAGGCAGTTTCCTAATTCTGGTAGTACAGAAGACAGCAGATGCAGAGCCACAGACTGGCATAAACGTAACTCCAAGACTCTGAAATACTACCATAGCAGGATGGTCGCGAGGTACCTTTGCTAACTGAGAAGAAGAGCAGCAAATTTTCCTAGCAAAATATCTGATGCTCAAATCGAAGATCAACTGTGGTGAAGAAATATGACCATCCATTATGGAAGCTTTCTAGTATCAAATGGAAAAATGGAACATAGATGCTGAAACATGGACATTGTCTTAACTAATGTGTCAAGTCCATTCGGAAAATACAAGAGCATAAGGAATGCAGTCCAAGGGATTCATTGAACCATGGAGTTGGAAGAGACCTAGTGAGTCATCTGGTCCCAACGCTTGCCTAATGAAGGAATCCTCACACCTTCTCAAACAAATGACTGCCTATTCTTTCTTGAAAATTTCAAGGGATGCGGTACCTATGAGGCCAGGTGGCAGGCTGCTCCACTGCTTCATATCTCTTTCATCATCAGTATATTCCTTCTTAGTTCAAGTTTGAATCTTCCTCTGCGACTCTTCACCCAATGTCAGCTGTGCTAGGTTGTCAGCACTGAGAACTGAACAAATGATGAGTATCGGGACAAAATGTTTGCATCAAAATGTGTTGAGTACCAAATTCGATGAGTTTCAAAGCAGTTTGAAACCACCGTACTTGGTTGTGCTATTTCAATGTGTGCTTTTCCCAAACTTTCCCCAATTAAGAAACAAACAAACAACAGAAAAAGAACATCTGCAAGAAACAGTACAGATTTTAAATATATATACGTATATTTAAGAAGAGACTTCCAATTTTCTTTACCGCAATGAAAAACAAACTAATTATTCCACTCCCTCTTTTACTATTCAGCTTACCTTTTAAGCCTTTCTAACACAGAGGTAGACAAAGGGAACAAAAGTGTTGATATGCTTTCTCTTGAAACTAAGGGTAGCCCACCATTTAAGACTAATTTATCTTAATTCATTAACTAATTGCATTTTAAATGAAAGAAGACGTCGTATTATTAATGGGTTCCTTTTACCATGTAAAAGGAAATAATTTGCAGTTCAATTAAGATGCTTGTAGTGGGTTTGTTAACATTATTGGAAGGCTAACATTTTAAATATATCCCTTTGACAGCAGCATACAGGAGCCAAACTCATATTCCAAAGGACTTCTTTCTTAAAGAGTTCTGGTTTGTTTATTTATTTACTACATTTGTGTAGCAGTCCATCTGGCCAGTGTGACTCTGGGTGGCTTCCAACAATTTAAAAAAAACCGCAACCATAAAAAAAATAAACCCAACAACATGCAGCTCCCAAAACCGTGATTAAAAAATTGATAACATGTCATCCCAGTCAACCTGTGAATATTATTTAATATAGCCGTTGCTATATTAGGCACAACTGCAGAGCCAACTCTTCAAACCCATCCTAAAGACTGCAATAAAGTTTTGATGTAAATTGATTTAGGTGCCAAACTAAGTTCTGGGATAATGATTTATTTATTTTTTTCAAAAAATGGAGGAAGTAAAGGTAAAGGTTCCCCTCGCACATATGTGCTAGTTGTTTCCAGCTCTAGGGGGTGGTGCTCATCTCCATTACAAAACCGAAGAGCCAGCGCTCTCCGAAGATATCTCTGTGGTCATGTGGCTGGCAGGACTTATTGTCGAAGGCGCACGGAACGCTGTTACCTTCCCACCAAAGGTGGTCCCTATTTTTTACTTGCATTTTTGCATGTTTTTGAACTGGTAGGTTGGCAGAAGCTGGGACAAGTAATGGAAGCTCACTCCATTATGCAGCACTAGGGATTCGAACCACTGAACTGCTGACCTTTCTCATCTACAAGCTCAGCATTTTAGTCACTGAGCCACCGCATCTCTAAAAAAATGGGTATCATGGAAGAAAAAACATTTCCTCCTGGGTCCCATCAAATAGTACATGGAACTCGTAAGATGCAACTCCTGCCAGATCTGATGTAGATAGATCTTCCAGGAGAGGAAGTCTCTCAAATCACAACACAGTTGCTGTTGCTATTGTTGTTAATTTATATTGTTCAGTTGAGGCTGTATCTGTGTATCACATTAAAGAGAAGAGCTCAAAGATGCTACCAAACCTTACTGGATTAATCCAAAGGAATCTTAAACTACTTATCCAGCAACTGTGGATAACAAGCTGTAGTGGGGATTGTTTGGAAGTTGAGTCATGGCAACAGGACTTGGTTTCTTGTTTCACTGCCCAATCAAGCAGCTTCTTCAATCTGAGCAAGTTAGGGGAATAGGAGTAAGCAGAGAGTTGTTAGAATATGCCAACTCCTACAATTCTTAGGGGTATATTCCTGCACCAACCTCAAGTTTTCTTCCCCAAAGTCTGTGACAATATGTCAGTGAAGATTCTCAG